TTGTCGGGGCGAAGCTGCGCTCTTGCCCTTGCCGCCCGTAGGGGTGGATGCCCAGATCTGGACAGTGCCGCAGATGCTTCCGCGAGGCTGCCGCGACGGACGCCAGCTACTGCATCGGTGCCCTGGGCGCGCTCTACAGGTGCGAGCGCGAGCATGAGGGCGCGGTGTACCCTGGCGCAGGATGCCGCGCGGCGGGGGGTCGTCCGCGCGTCGCGGGAGTCTCGGCACGATATAAGTTCACGGCTCTCCGGGCCGCCCCGTGAAGTTGCGCGTCGGCTTCGGGCAACGTCTCCGACTACTTTGGCGCAGATTTTCTTGCGCGGCCGCACGTTCCAGCTCTTCTTTCTTTGCTTCCTCCAGGGCGGTCGTCTTCTCCTCGGTTTTGGATAGTGATGCTGCTTGGTGCCTGGCTGACTACGACGCGTCCCAGATGTCGGACGAAGACGTTCACTTCTACCGTTGGGCCGACGGTCCTGGGCGACCTCTCTTCGATGACGCGCCGCGCTCCGCCCGGGCCGCCTGCGCGGCCTTTCTGAGGTGCTTGCAAGACGTCGTCATCATGGTGCCTCTCTCGTCGGTGCTTGAGACGGCGGCCCCCTTCTTTGTCGGTGAGGAGAGCGGGGGTCTGCGTACGGCATTGGACTGCCGGCTGGTCCACAAGCGCTTTCAGCGCGCTTCGTGCGCCGAAATCGCGACGGCCGAGCCCCTTGCCCACGCGCGCCAAGGCCGAGGGCGCCCTCTACATCGCGAGCGCGGACGCGGAGCGCTGTCTCTACCGGCGCGGCGGCCTCGGCGACCTCAGCCAGCTCTTCGGCTTGCCCAAGTTCGCGGGCGTAGAGGCGGCCGCCTTGGGCAGGGCCCACTTCTCAGGCGAATCTTGCATCGCGGAGTCGTCGAAGGTCTGCCCTGCGCTCGCGGCGCGGCCGATGGGGCGGGTCTGGGACTTCTGGTTCGTCCAGCGCGTGCACCTGGAGATGGCGAGACGGGCGGGCGCGCCGCCGCCCCGCACCGCGGCGGGGAACTGGCCGATGCCCCTGCTGGAGCCCGGGGCCGCTGACCAGCCGCGCTCGAACAACGTCAACATGTTAGCTTTCAACGGCGTCGAGGTCGGCAGGATGACGAGCGCTGTCCTCGGCCAGTTCGAGGCGAAAGGTTTCGAGATCCACAAGATCTCCGACGTCTCCGCGGCCGCGACGGCGTTGGGCGGCACCGACGTGAGCGGCTGCCCACCCGTGGCTCAGCGCACTGGGGCCAAGCTCGCCTCGCCGCGCCGAGCGCTGATTTGGCTGGCCGAGGGCCCGGTGGTGAGCGAGCGCCAGGTTGAGGTCATCGCGGGTCACATCGCGGCGGCGCGCATGGCGCGCCGCCCCGCTCTCGCCGTCCTGAGAGCCATCTATAACTTCGTCAAGGGCAGGCACGACTGGCCACGCCGTCTGCGGCCGTCGCGCCGCTGCGAGGGTTGGGTCATGGGAGGCATCTCCGTGCTGACGAGCACCGACCTCTCACCGCGCCCACGGTCTGTCGTCGTCGTCGCCGCCGACGCCTCAACCACCGGCATCGGGGTCGTGGAGGCGCGCGGCCAGGGGGCGGAGATCGCTGCGGCCGGCCGCTGGCGCGAGCGATGGCGCTTCCGCGAGCGATGGCCGAGCGGGCGCCGCGTCGGCGCGCCCTTGACGGCCTCGACGACATCCCATGCCCTCGCGCCGCCGGGGGGGATCCGTCTCAAGACTCGAGCGTCAGATGCGATGTGGGAGATGCACTCGGGTTTCCCAGGCGTGGGCCAGGAGTTACTGCGTCTTGATTGTCACGCCGTCTTCGCGGGGTGCCTTACTTCCACGGCGTCGAGGAGTCGACGACTTCGGGGCGTGCTGCTCGATCTAGCGTGGCCGCGCTACCCCCCGTGGGCTCTTCCAGATATGTCGTTGATCCGCTACGCTGCATCTTGGCTTGAACATTGGGGCGAGGCCCCGTTGGGTTCCCGCGGAGGTCAACGCTGCCGACGCCCCATCGCGTCGCGTCTCTGCGAACGTGGACACCGAGCCCGTTCGCAGATCCATGCTGGGGCCCCCGAGCGCGGCTGGCGAGGCCACTTCGACTGCGCCGCCAGCGACGCCAAGGGCCGCGCCGGCGCGGGCCGCGGCGCAGCACCAGCCCGAGGGCGCCCCTCGGCCCAGGCCAGCTGCCCGGCCGCCGCGCCGCCGGCACGGCGCCGGCCGGCTTTCTCGCGGGCTCCGCGCGCCGAGCGGCGGCTGCGCGAGGTGCTGGACGGGCGCGCGAGGAGGCTGCCGTTAGCTCCGACGCGAGGGCCAAGAGCGAGGAGCACTTCGCCACGTTCTCCGAGTTCTGCCCGCCCGACCCCGTGCCCGACAACATCGAGATGCTGCTGGTCAAGCTGCTCGATAAGCCAGGCGCGCTGATGCAGAGCAACTGCCCGAAGCGCGAAGGGGGCTGCGAGGCGACGGCGGCGAGGGAGGCGCTGCCCTTATCGGCCGCGGGCGTGGTGGCCAGGGGCCGGCGCCGCGCGGCGCTGCAGATAGTCGCGCAGCATTTCGCGCATCTGCGCCCCAGGACGATGTGACATCTCCAGGTGAAGGAGCTCATCCCGCCGCTGCGCGACGCTGCATGGTCCTTCGGGGCGCCGGGGGCCATTGCTGGCTCCGACGCGCGACGACCCTTCGCCGCCGACGGCGACGGGGGCCAGGGCTCGGGCGCTCACCGAGACAGGCGCGTCCGACGAGTCGATCGACCTGGACACCCCGACCTTGCTCGGGCCCGCGCCGGGGGCCCGCGTCCGCGGCGGGCGGCCCGGCAACTTCGTCTTCGGGACGGCGGCGGCCCAGGTCATGGCCACGTTCCGCAACCTCGGCGCGAGCCCCGAGTTGCGCGGCCAAGTGCTGCGCCTGCTCAGGCACGGGGGCGCCGGCGACGACGCGCTGTCGGAAGGGCGCCCCTTGCCCGAGGTGAAGACGCGCGCGCGCTGGATACAGGACGCGTCGGTCAGGCGTTACGCCGAGCCGGGGATGGCGCAGCAGCTCCCGGGCGCTCTGGCGCGTGTGGCCCGCGAGCACCGCGACCGCCAGTGGGGCGCCCATCGAGTGGGCCTTGCCGGGGGCGGCATCGCCGACGCCCCCTCCGCGTCGGCGGGGGCGCGGCGGGTCGAGCTGCTCTGGGCCTGGGGCGAGTGAGGGGGCCAGCTGCGCGGTGCCGAAGCGCGTCTGCTCGCCCCAGCTTGTCAACGGCCGAGCGCGGCAGGCGCTCGAGGCGTGGCCCGAGCTGCCGCCCGCGTAGGCGTCGTGGCCTGGAGTTGAGGGCTGATGGGTTCGCCTCTGCAGGACGCCTTTTACCCTGTTGCGCGGTCTCCTAGATGCGGGCCCTCGCTAGACACGGGCCCCTACGTCTCGTTTTCCTTACTCTTGCTTGTACCAGTTGGTCGCGGCCTCGCCAGGGACCTAAAGTTTGGACTCGTCCTGGATGGCCTGGGACAGTACGCGATGCCAGACGCATCTTCGGGCTCCTTGATCTCAGCCCTAATGATTGGGTTCAGATCTCTCTCGGCAGCGCCCGGGCTGCCTGGGCCGAGCGTCTTTTCGAGGCTGTCGCTCGGGCTGGCATCCCGATCTTGCTCGAAAATCCTGCCTCTTCCACGCTTTGGTCCCATCCCCTTTTTGTCCAGCTCTAAGGAAGTACTCGCATATTACCTTTGACCATTGTGCTTCTGGCTCGCGTTTTCGGAAGCGCACTGGGCTGCTCCATGCCAATGTCGAGCTTTCTGACGTCGCCACTCGCCAGTTCACATGTAAATGTGGTTGTTCCTCTTCGGGATTGCCTCACCAGATTGCCGAAGGCCGCGATCAGAACGGTAACCTTCAGTCCGCGCTGGCCGCTGGGTATCCTTCCGGTTTCTGTGATGACATAGTTTGGTTGTGTAACTCCAAATTCAAACGCCCACCCCGACCCTCCCGAATTGTTCATTGGTTCCCCCTTCAAGCCCAGACAAGGTCGCCGTCTGCTCCGGAAACGACATCCCATCCTGTGAAGCATCCTCTATGTCCTGTATTAAAGGTTGGTGGTGTAATACTCACAGCGCGCATGTTTGAGCACCAGTGTGATTTTCGCCGGCGTTGGGCCCCGAATATTTTCCGCCGGCCCTCGCGAGATGGTGGCTTAATTTTCGCTGGCCCCTATGAATACATATCGTTCGCAAAATTGGTGGTGATTGGGATGTGCAGCAGACAGATGTTCGTCAATTATGCAGCAGCCGCGCTCGCTCATTGCACGTATCCCGCGTTTGTTCACATCCGTTTGCCTGGATAACCGCCATACACGATCATCGTCATGATCGCGTGACCGTCCTCACCATTAACATCGTCATCTCCACCATCACTGTATACATATTTTTTTATATTCACCACTATCACTGGCGACCCTGGAATGGTGCATAATGTTGGCCGGCACTTGGGTGACCTTTTTTCGCCGGCGTGAAGATTAGGCCCTGGGATAATTTTCGCCTGCGTGGCACCACCCACGACGTTTGCCCCCCCACGTTTCATGGGCAGTGTTTACGCGATAGTGCTGTGAGGAAGGTGATGGGTGTGGCCAGGGACGTTGTGCTGCACTGCGTCCTCTTCCGTTTTGGCTTTCAGACCACGATGGCCCGCCCGAGGCCCCCGAGGTCTCTCCAGGTAGCCAGGTTGCCGAAGACGGCTGTAAGTCCGAAGGGCCAAAAGTATTCGTTCCAGACGCTCTACGGTGTCATTGTTGCCTCTAGCCGTTTCCGCTCATCATCTTTGTCCAGGTGCCATGCGCGGCCAGCTCGTCGGCGTCGGCATCGATAGAATATAGGGCGAGAGTGTCGGAAGAAAAAGGGGTCGTCTTCGCAGACATCGGCGCGCAATTTACCTGCGTACGAAGTCGCCCGTACGCGATTTCGTTTCTAAAGTAGCGTGCCGCATTGGCGGCCCGCGTAAGCCAGCGCGTAAGGTTGCCATGCCATCTCGCGGAAGAACCGTGTCTTTTCGTCGTTCATGTGTGTTTGCCTTGTTCGGTTCCGCCGATAGCGCGCAGCTTGTATCGGCCTTGGCAACACTGCCTGCGTCGCAGTGAAGTGCTTCGGTGGACAAGCACATACTAGCGCCGAGTCCAATTCTGCACCTTGTGCCAGATCAGGCTTGAGCTCGCCAGGTGCGCCGAGGGAGGTCGCAGAGGCGGCCCCCATCGTGCCCACGGTAGTGCCGGCCAGCAGGAGACCAGCCGCATCGTGGGCAGACGTTCCGTGGTGTCTCGGCCGCCGCGTGCCGAAGCCGCAGGAACCGCGTCAAGCGATTGGCGCTTGCGAAAACGTCGTGCCGAGGAGCCTCCAGCCGCGCCTCGTCCCCCGCCCCGCGAAGGCCGTCCTGGCGCCGCCGATGCTCAGCCCGGCCCCGTCCGCGCCCGGTGCCCCGGCCGCCACGCCTCAAGCGGCTGCAGGCGCAGGGGAGGGGGGCGGGGATCGTCGGCGCCGCCCGAACATACTATGTACTAGGTGTGCGTCGGCCCCAAAAGTGCGACGCGCACACCAAGGAATCTCGTACTGTATGCTCCGTGACGGGCGCTCTCCGGCCATACCTCTCGGGGAACGATATACGATGAGATGTTTATATTATATGTTCGGTTCGGACGCACGCCTCCGAGGAGGACACATTGTATTAGTATGTCCTGTTGCGCCCCAGATCGATACAATCGAAATGCGCACGGAAAGACTGGGTCGAAGACCGACGTCAATCCCTGTCCTCTTTGAATTGGGTTCGTTGTCGGCGTCGCTGCGGACGTTGTCCACTTGAGACGGAAGGCCGCCTGTCCAACAGCGGCCGTTGTCGGTGTTGGACAGCGGCCGATGTCGTTTAGGCATCGTACGTTTACCCGTGCACCCCATTCGGGCGTCCAGGGAGGAGTCTGGTCGGACGAAAGGGCGTCGGCGCCGCGCAAGAGTGGCCTCTGATGCGTGGCGTTCGGCGGGCGCGGCGCGGCCGAGCACAAGCACGCGCGCCGCTACCGTCGCACTGCATGCAACGGTCGGCCAGCCGCGCTCCAGATACACGGTTTGCTCATGGCCACCAAGGGCTCCCCCGAGGGCGCGAAGTTATTCGCGCTTCGCGCTTCGCGGTCCTCGTTTCTCCTCCCCCTCCTCCTCGTCCTCCGTTTGTCCCTTTGGGGGGGCGGCGCGAGAGCGCGAAGTTATTCGCGCTTCGCGCTTCGCGGAGCGCGAGAGCGCGAAGTTGGGAGCCCTGGGTCACTCTGCAGCTGGTGTCGGCCGCGCCGCAAGGGCGCCTTCCTCGACACACAACAGTCTCGCTCTGTAAGGATGAGTGGGGCTTTCCAAGGCTACCCCTGCGTCCTTGCCCCTTCGGTCCCGCCTCAGCGACTTCCACTGGCCAGCCTCGCTCGAAGCACGCTGACATGGCCCTCCAAGGCCCTTGCGTCCTTACCGCACGTCCTTACTCCAGAGGTTGACCAGATTCATGGGCGCCTCCAGCGCCGGGAGCCTCGCCGGGGAAACCAGCTATGGCGTGAGCTGATTCTTTGCTAACCCCCCCCTTAGCTATTCGCCCCTTGTCGCCCCACGGGAGAGGGGGGGGGACTATGAGCAGGGAGGAGGAGGAGGAGGAGGAGGAGGAGGAGGAGGAGGAGGAGGAAAGGGAAGGTGAGCTTTTTGCTCCCCCCTCGGGTAACGCTAACAGTCGCACTAGGAATGGGTGTGGCCTGGACCCCCCCCCTGCATGCTGTGGTGCACACAGGCGATGGATGCGCTTGTGGCGCGGACGCACCCTGGCGGGTGCACGCCACGGCCGCCGCTACCGTTTCCCTCCCGCCTGAACATCCACTCCTCCCCCGGGTAACGACCGTTACCAGACAGGCAGACAGACAGAACCGTGCCTGGGACGGCACATCGGTTGCAGTGCGCGGCTGCTGCACGCACTTCCGCCGGCAGAAGGCAGTCGCCTGGCTCGCAGCGGCGTGGTCTGAAGCAGCCTGGAAGAAAAAGACACATACGACAGTATGTAACCTGACATGTTCTCGGCCAGAGGGGAGGAGGGGGAGGGGCAGGAGGGGGAGGGGCGAGGAGTGGGAGGGGAGAGAAAGTGATCCTCAGAATTTGTCTGCGAGGCAATCGTTGCCGCAGTGCCCTTGGTGTCAATGATATGCGTACTTGTACACGGCCTTCCGCCATGCTTCGTCATGGAGAGCTGATAGCTGATTGTCTGTGGACCTGCTTAATCGTTTGCGATTGCGCTTGCATGATTCTGGCCCACTGTAGTCTCGGGCGGCCTCTCCCTCGTCGGCCATAATCTGCAACATCAGAGTTTCTTTTCTGATATACATATGAATGTGGTAAAGTTGTGTCAGATGCCGATGCCAGATTGTCAACATACACCAGCTGATTATACAGAACACGTAAACTTATCTTGCGCTGGCGCGACATGTTCCGCACCGCCTCGTTGCTGACCCGGGAGATCATCGAATGCGGGACGCCAGATCTTTTGCGCAGACGATGCGCTTGGAAAGCGTTGATCTTGTCCCTGTCCGTCTGGCGCAAGCACAGTGCCTCCAGACTGTGTGTTAATTGAGTCACCACGCGTGCGCTGAACAGATACAGGTTCCACTGCCTCGTGATGCTGGCGTGCTTCCATACGGTCTTCCAAGACTCGAATGCCCCGCGTGCTTCCCCGACCCTCCGAGCGACCGAGGCTCCCGTGTCTTCATCTTCCCGTAGGAGGCCTCCGAGGTACACCGCCGAACTCACGATCTTCACGGGCGCTCCTTGCGGCGTGAAGGCGTCGCTGGTGTGCCGGATCTGCATGTGCACCGTTTCCCCCAACGGGGGGCTCCAGGCCGTACACTTGAGCTCGCATGATTCGCCGGTCTAGAGAGTATTGTAAACGCTGGATGTCGTTGGAGAGCAAGGCCGTGTCATCTGCATACGCAACGTCGGCGCACTGCGTTCCCGCGGGGGGGTCGCCGAACTTCTCAAGCACATCCTTTCTTACGTCGATCATCAGAACGCTCAGCATGATTATCAATAGAACGGACATAGAGTGCATCCCTGTGCGATTCCCGATCCTTGGCCGTGGATTCTGTTTTGGCCATCCGTGTCTTTGGCTTCGAAGGTCCTCCCGTCGTATATTGCGCTGATCATGTCGATGTAGGAGTCTGGGATTCCAAAGCAGGCCAACGAGAGCGGAGTGGTCCACCTAAGCCTTGTCGAACGCTTTTGACCAGTCCAGAATCACAACCACTGCAGATGCCTTGCCATCCTTGGAGGCCCACGTGTTCTCGATCAACCTGTGCAGGATACAGACGGCGTCCCTGGTACCGTGCTTGCTCCGACATCCAGATTAGCTGGGTCTGAGTCGGTCCTCCACGCCGCCGTCTGCGAGCCTGTTGAAGAGCAGAGACGCCAACACTTTATATCCGACAAGAAGCAACGAAATTGGTCGGAAATTCGTCGGCATGGACTCGTCCCCTTTCTTGAAGATGGCGGTGATTCGGCTGTACCGCCACTCCTGTGACACCTTGCCAACAGATGTTCAAGAGGCCTAGCAGGATGTTGCATGCTTCTGCGCTCTTGCGCAACACCTTCCAAAAGTCTGGAGGGATGTCGTCGGGCCTGGCGGCCGTACCCGACTTCAGTTTGCGCAATACTTGTTCCAGCTTTGTTCCGGAAAACTCCTCGAGTGGAAGTTGCAGCAGATTGTTTGGTCGTCGCCCGTTTTGCAGATGGTGACCAACAGGAGGCTCCGACCACTGGACCTCGGAGAAATAGGTAGCCAAAGTCTCGGCTCGTTGGTTGTTTTCCACAAGGTCTCCGTCTCGATTTTGGGTCCTGCCTTGGGATCTGCGCCCCCTCTTCTTCGACGGTCTGAGGCCTTCCCAGTTTTCGTTGGTCACGACGTCGCCCAGCCAAGCCGCTCTGTCGCGTTTGCCTCGGCAGCTCCTCCTCCAGATTGCGTTGGCGCTCAGTCCTGGCCTGCACCCGAAGCTCGACGAGATCCAAGGTGCCTCGCCGGATCCACCGCCTCGTCGCCTCGACCCGTCTCGCGTCGAGAGAGGCTTCGGCGGCTTGCTCCATGCAGGTTGCACCGCGCCCCGCATGCTGGCCCAAGTATGCAGGCGGCGCCATAGACGTTACCAGGGAAAGGAACAAGCGGTCACAAGAGGGAGAGAGAGAGTCTAGGTTTCCCAAAGGGGGTCCGAGCAGATGGGATCGGAGGATCACGCCGCATCGGCGATGCGGTTCGAGCCCGATTCTGGGCCGACGTGGCTGATACGTCGCCGACGTCGCCGATGCATCGACGATGCGGCGCGATCCTCCGACCCCATCTACTGCGACCCCATCTGGGAGGCCTCTCTCTCCCCGAGAGAGAGAGAGAGAGAGATATATATATATATATGTAAAAATACAAACAAAAAAACAAAAGAGACAAATTGACTACGGAAGGAGATGGAGTTTACCAGCTTCGAGCTCGCCCCGATCCGAAAGATTGACAACAGTAGAGCGATAACAATATTTGGGAATTTGCCCTCAGAGACGGAGGGAATCCTTGAGATCGGCGTCGAGAAAACGTGATGCAGATCATGCGGATAGGGACATGTTTCAGGCTAAGGGACGGCGTCGAGGACGAAGGTACTTTGGGCCAGGAGAAGGAACGGATTGGAATTTGATGGGGGCATGTCTACAGGATACGGGATGCAGTTATTGGGTTCGATGGGGGAGTCATTGAACATGTCCACGGCTTTCGGTGATCGAGGCACCCTGTCCGACATGATGTATTGCCGAACGCCAACACATATATCACGCACTTGGTTTGCGCGAGTGGTTGTGGCGGGATCGCCGGAGTGTGGAGAAGGATGGCGGGGAGGAGGACTGATGATGAAGACGGCGGCCAGAGGGGGAGGGGGACTGGGGAGGGGGAAGAGCAGGACGGGGAGGATTAGCGAGGAAGGGGGTCATTAACGAGGTCGAGCAAAGATACATTTGAAAGTCACGATCCTCGAACCTTGATCTTCGACGGGTGTTGGGGGAGCCCCGACGTCGAGTCGTGTTTGTTCCGCAAAATTTGGCCCAGAAGTCTCAACCCTTTCCGGGGACCGGTGTTTCTTCCCCAGTCGTTTATTAATGGTGCTTTCGAAGTTGGTAAACGTGTTCAGTCGTGACCTGTCTCACGTTGCCAGGGGTCTGGGGAGCAGCGGCAGTCCTGGCACGTCCCCATGGCAGCGGGGCACGGGATGGAACTGGCAGAAAGTCCTGGCCCGCGAGGGATAATGTGTGTTTCGTATGTATGCATTTGCAGATTCACACATACTGTTCATAGTTGTTGTTTGCTTGTTTCGTTGTTTCACTATCTTTCTTTCTTTCTTTCGTTCTCTCTCTCTCTCTCTCTTTCCCTCCTCTCTCTCTCCCTTGCGATCGAGTTGGGATCGTGAGAGAGAGACAGAGAGGCACACATTGGGAAAGAGAGGGAGAGAGGGAGATTGACAAGGAGAGAGAGGGAGAGGGAGAGAGAGGAAGAGAGGGATAGAGAGAGAGGGAGACAGAGAGAGAGAGAGAGGGAGAGCCACGGCGGGGAGAGGGCACGCGAACCTCAAAGCATGCGGTGCCCAGACGCCTTCCTCGCCGCCGCCGCGGCGGGCCAGCGGGCCGGCGCGCAGCGCTGGCCGGGCAGGCCTTTGTGCACGGGGCCCAACGGCGGGGGAACGCCGTGGGACGGGCCTGGGGCGGGCATGGCGGATGAGGACCGAAGCGTTTTTGAAATATTCCCCCACTCTCTTGGCCTTGAGGAGCCACCATCCGCAAGCCCTGGCCCTTATTCGGGGGCGTCGGACTGGTGGCAGCTGTAGCGTCCCACATCTCTCTTGGTGTGATAATTTTCTTTCTGCCGGTGGATCCTTTGGTTGCGCTCGGAGGTTGGTGCTACAGGAAACGTGTTCCCCCACTCAAGTGGTCGGGTGCGCTCGATTATGAGAGAAAGCCGGCCCGCCAGCCCTGCATACCGAGAAAACAAGGCCCAATGAGTCTCTGACGGGTCCTGAAACGCTCGCCTCGCCAGCCCAGCATACCGCGGCCGCTGGGCCCAGAGAGTCTCCGAGTGTCCCTGAGATCGCCACGCCCCACCAGGCAGACGCCACGTTGTCCAGGCGCCACGACGTCAAGCCGTCCACAGACATCAAGGAAGATCAAGGACAGGGAGCATGGCCATACTACTCAGAGCACGCATTTGGGACACACCTCCAGAACATGCACCACTGACAGACATTCAAGGCACACGTCAGCAGCTTGCGCAAACGGCAGGCACCAGTGATATACATCCAGCACGTACACCAGCACCAGGAACACACCATCCACAAGCACCACAAACAGACATGAACCACAGACACCAACACATATACCCGTGACATGCCTCTATGGCAGGCACAAGTATCGGATTCACATACCACGCATCAAAGGCACACATCACGACCACTACCAAGCAGCAGCCAGGTTTTGAGCACGACCCGCCTTGCACCAGCGTATGTGTTGGACATTTGTGGGTTGACGGTGCGCGGCGTATGGTCAGGGACATTTTCGCTTAGTTTTGACATCAGATGTTCGCCCGAGATGTTCTCGGAAGTATGGTCCTTGGAGCGCTGCGCACGAGGCGGTCCGGCGTATTTCGCTTGAGACATCCTCGAAACTTTGGGCTCCGAGGGGGAGCAGGGAGCAGGGAGGGGGGAGGGGGGGGGGTCCAGACCCACACGAACCGTTTGATTTTCCACTCCTCTCGTCGCATTTTGCCCTGGGAGGAGGGGTCCTGGCGCCCCTGGCCCGACGGAGGAGGCAAGTAGCTGGCGCCCAGGGCGCGAGCGCGATCCCGTGGGGTAAGTTCCGAGCGCTCCTCGGGGCGGAGGCCTGCGGGAGCAGGTCGTGGACCGTCGGTGCCTTTGTTCTGTTTTTATTCTTTTTATTCCTTTCTCGAGGTTTTCTTTTCTTTTATACTTTTTTTTCATTATCTTTTTCTTTTTGATCTCACCTTTATATCTTCGCTGTTTTGAGAGACGGGCGCGGCGAGGAGGGAGGGGTGCGGGATAAGGGGCAGGAGTCGGAGGGCACCAACTATACACCAACACCGATCCTGGCCCAGGATCACCCTGGGCCCAGGATCGGTGCATATGCCTTCTTGCGCAGGGCAGGAGGGCGTATACACCGATCCTGGGCCCAGGGTGATCCTGGCCAGGATCGGTGTTGGTGTATAGTTGGTGCCTTCCTAAGGAGGAGGGGAGGGGGACAGCGGAATAATGCAGGAGGGAGACGGAGCCAGGCCCCAGCTATTTGTGTGAGGGCATCCCTGGCGAGGATGCCTCCTGGAAGTTGGAAGCGGCATCGAGAGTGCGAAGGCGTCCCTGGTATGGCGGAGGAAACGGAGAAGAGGATGGACGAGGAGGAGAAGTGTTATGAGGATGATGCTGATGCTGTTGATGATGATGCTGATGATGATGCTGATGATGATGATGCTGCTGCTGATGATGATGATGATGTTGCTGCTGATGATGACGATGGCGATGGCGATGGCGATGACGATGGCGACGACGATGATGATGATGATGATGATGATGATGATGCTGATGATGATGATGATGCTGATGATGATGATGAGGATGAGGATATGATGATGATGCTGAACATGATGCTGATCATGATGATCATGATTATCATGATGATGCTGATGCGGATGCTGATGCTGCTACTGATGATGCTAATGAGGAGGAGGCGGAGGACGAGGAGGAGAAGGAGCACTGCCAATGGGAGGCAGACGAGGAAACACGTTGAGGAGTACGAGGATTACGTGGATGAGGACGGGGAGCACGGCGCAGGAGGAGGAACAAGACAAGGGGAGTGCGACGAGGAGGTAGAGGATGAGGAGGAATACAACCAGGAGGAGAAGGAGGATTCGTATTGGGAGGTGGGGCGAGGAGGAGTGAGATGAGGAAGTATAGGAGGAGAAGGAGAGGAAGGACCAGGAGGCCAGGATAAGGAGGAGGTCTTGGAGTAGGAGGAGGAGGTGGAGGAGGAGGAGGAGGAGGAGCTGGAGGAATAGAGGAGTGGGATGATGATGAGGAGGAGGTGTAGTGCTAGGGATGGGGCCGAGGGCGAGATGGAGCATGACGTGGATGCCGAGGAATAGGACGACGACGACGATGACGAACAGCTCGACGACGACGACGATGCCGAAGGCGCAGGCGGATCAGGAGCAGGAGGACGCGCGAACACTCTGAGGAGCCACCTTGGCTCAAGCGACTACCGTTCGGAGATGCTGGACTCAAGCTATACTATGGGTATCCCTTCCTTCGTATCCCTCCGTCCCCTTACTCTTTCTAGCTATCTTGCTGCCAACCGCGGTTTCCTCCAACGAGTAGTTTTGATTCGCGTTTGCATGGCCTCTTGGAGGTCTTCTGTCTGCTGTCTTCGTGCGCATGAGTGGGGGGTTATGAAGCCACTTGGGGCTCTCATGAGACCTATCGGGTGCCCTTCCAACTACTTAGGTTGGTTCTGTTTGCGAGGCCTGCCGCCGACGTCCAGGAGGCTCACAACCCGCGGTTGGGCGTCCAGGACGTCCAGAGGCCCAGAGTTTGTTTGTTTGTTTGTTGCTGTTCTTGGGGGGGGAGGGGGGGGGGGGAGGGGCGCTTTTCCGGATTGCCCCCACGATCGATATGTCATGGAGAAGAACATGGATTCTTCTTTGCGGCCATCTTTTGGGGTCCTCGTCGCCACGGCGGGATTCGTTTTGGAATCTTCGTCAGAGCGAGCGCAGCCTTGGCCTGAGAGGTCCGAGGTGTAGCGGTGTCAGTCAGAATGCGGGGGCCGAACGGTTATTCATTGTCTTTGGGTGCGTGGCTAAAGTGAGAATCCATGGTGTGGATTCTGTTTGTTGCGTCGTTGTTGCTGTTGTTGTTGTTGTGGTTGTTGTTGTTGTTGTTGTTGTGGTTGGTGCTGTTGTTGTTGTTGTTGGTGGTGGTGGTGGTGTTGTTTTTGTTGTTGGTGTTGAACTCTCATTTCTGAAGAATAAGTATTGCTGATCCCCCTCACCAGTAAATATGTTTTCTCAGTCAAAGAGTACCCACCGACGTTCGCACCTTGTTTTTTGACAGGGAAAGTCTTGGGTCTCAAACTGTGCCCCTGGCCCCATGGATTACAACAACGGCTCCCGCCTGAGACTGCCTCTTAAATTACTCAGGACCCCCGCTCCTGAGACTTCCTCACAATTTACTCAGGATCGGTGTTTCCGCCTGTGACTTCCTCGCAATTTAGTTAGGACCCCCGCTCCCATCTGAGACTTCCTCACACTTTTCTCAGGAGCGGCGCTCCCGATTGAGACTTCCTCGCAGTTGAATCAAGACTTCCTCGCAATTTAATCCAGACCCCCGCTCCCGCCAGAGAACCCTTCACATTTTTTTCATGAACTGCGCTCTCGCCTGTAACTTCCATGCAATGTGTTCATACATCGCGCTTTCGACGCTCAGGAAACACGCTGCGCCAAGGACGCCTTTACAATTTACTTAGTAATCGCGCTCTCGCCATACTCAGGCATCCCGCTTGACTGTCGCACCCGCCCGACCCACCCGTCAGGGGATCGCCCGCCCGTCGTGGGCTCCCGCCCGAGACTTCCTTCAGGAACGGCGCTTTCGCCTAGGACTTCCTCGAACGTTCACGTTCTTACTTTCCTGCTCCTCCTCCCTCCTCCCTCCTCCCTCCTCTCCTCCCTTCTGTCTCCCTCCTCTCTTCCCTCATCCTTATGCCTCTCTGCCCTATCCCCTTCTCCCTCCTCTCCTTCCTCCCTTCTCCCTCCCCTTTCCTGCCTCCTCCCACCCTCTTTCTTTCTCTCTCTCTCTCTCTACCCTCTCTCACTCTCTCTCTCTCTCTCTTTCTCTACCTCTCTTATCTGTCTTTCTCTCTTTCTCTCTCTCTCTCTCTCCTTCTCTCTCTCTCTGCCTCTAATCAGCCGCCCCCGTCTTCGCTCCTTCTCTCCCGGCGTTGTCCCTCTTCCTTCGTCCCTCCCCCTCCCTTCCTCACACTCTCCCTCGTTCTCCCCCTCTTATTTTTGCAGGGCACAAACCTATTCCAATGGCGGGCACATGTACGCCCACGAAGGATTGTCCGCCCGTTCAGGTTTGCCCGCCTGTCTAAGGCCGCCGCCCCCATCAAAGAGAACGAATCCCTTCAAACGGGGTGTGATCGAAGACAAAAAGGGCGGGTATCGAGGGTGTGGGGAACTCGTTTTGAATGACACGCGGGCAAGTAAGAGCGAACAGTCTTATAATGAATGGTGTTGTTGTTGCTGTTGTTTGTTGTCGTCGTCCCACCCGCGACCCACCCCGCGACCCACCCCGAGACCCACCCGCGACCCACCCGCGACCCAGCCGCGACCCACCCGCGACCCACCCCGCGACCCACCCGCGACCCACCCGCGACCCACCCCGCGACCCACCACCCGCGACCCACCCCGCGACCCACCCGCGACCCATCCGCGACCCACCCCGCGACCCACCCGCGACCCACCCGCGACCCACCCGCGACCCACCTGCGACCCACCCGCGACCCACCCGCGACCCACCCGCGACCCACCCGCTCCTCGGCCCGCGACCCACCGTCGACCCACCTGCGACCCAACCCGTGACCCATTCATTTTTTTTGGAACGAAATTATAGCCGGAGCGCAGTATCCCCAAACAGGGTTTTTAAACCCACTGCGGTTTCCAAGGTCGATCGCGTGCCCGTCCAGTGCGGGTTGGCATGGCATGTTATAACATTATAACATGATGTTTGCACATGATGTTTACACGAAGGTTTGTGTGACGCATGCCTAGCAGGAAGCTATCGCTAGAGGTTGTCCTACTATTTCGCACCTGGTCGACGAGTAAGCTGTCGGATCGGCACTGTGAGAGGCTCCGCCGCCATGTTGTGAACCCGGGAGCATCTGTACGAGGAAGCGGGGGAGGGCGGGGGTGGCATGTCGCGATGGTTCCCCCAGGGATGATCTCGAGAGGTACGCGGCGCACGTCTCAAAAAAAAACATGGTGACGTCGGATGTCTGGGGAGGGCGGAAGGCAGGGCGCGCATGACGGATGCTTAGGCGGCAGACGCGACGACGGCGGGGGCGGGGAGGCGGAGGCAGAGGCGCAGCAGCGGGAGGCGGGAGGCGGGAGGAGCCAGGCGGGGAGCGGGAAGAGGGAGGCGGGACAAATAATGAGAGAGGTTGTGATTGGAGCCCCTGTGTTTCGAAACGTTTCAGGCAGAGCGGGCCAGATCATCTCGCGCGCAACATCTTCGAGTTTCGCATTGTGAGGGTGTCTCAAACAAAACGGGCCGGACAACCTTTCGCACACGTTCTGACAAGTCCACGCCATTTCCGTCTCCCGTTAGGTCCTCTCTTGGAACTCCCTTCCTTCTCCCTTCTCCTCCTCTTCCTCCTCCCCTCCTCCTGCCTGTCCCCTCGTCCACATAATCCTCCTCTTTCTCCCTTCCATTTCCTTCTTCTTCTCCTCGTCCTCCTCCTCCTCCTCATCCACCTCCTCTTCATCCCGAACGGCCTTTCGGAGCCCAGACTTGCGAGGATGTCCCCAGCGTAACGGGCTGGACCACCTCGCGCGCGGCATCTCGGACCCCAGAATTGCGACGATGTCTCGGGCGAAACGTGCTGCGAGGAAGTCTCAGGCGAAACGGGCCGGACCACCTCGAGCGCGGCGTCTCAGTGCTCCGGGTTGCGGGGGCCTCCTGGGGCCTCCTTGAGACCTCCTGGAGCTTCCTCATGGGCCTCCTGTGGCCCCATGGACTCCACATGGGGCCTTCTGAAGCCTCTTGGGGCTCCCAGGGGGGGACATCGAACATGTGGCCGTTTGGGCCCTTCGACATGGGGGGGCCACAAGAGCAGGAAAAATCAACGAATCGGCACCGGATGTGTATTAACTTGACACGTTGTGATAGGGGGCGTCCTGGGGCCTCCTGGGAGCCTTCTGGGAATTTCCTGGGGACCCCTCGGGCCTGTCCTGGGCGTCCTGCGGCCTCCTGGAACTCTCTGGCGCCTCCTGGGGCTCCCAGGGTCCCAGGGAGGATATGTAACATGTGGTCTTCTGGGCCCCCAGGCTGGACCACCTCTTCCTCGGCATCTGGGAGCTCAAAGTTGCGAGAATGTCTTGTGCGAAACAAGCAGGACCACCTTGCGCACGGCATCTCAGAGCTCAGAGTTGCGAGGATGTCTCAGGCGAGACGGGCCGGACCACCTCGCGCAGGCATCTCAGAGCTCAGAGTTTGAGGATGTCTCAGGCGAAACGGGCTGGACCACGTCGCGCGCGGCATCTCCAAGGTCAGAGTTGCGAGGATGTCTCAGGCGAAATGGGTTGGACCACCTCTTGCGCGGCAATTCAGAGCTCAGAGTTTCGAGGATGTCTCAGGCGAAATGGACCAAACCACCTCGCGCGCGGCATCTCAGAGCTCAGAGTTTGGAGGACGTCTCTGACGAAACGGGCCGGACCACCTCCCGCGCGGCACCTCGGAATGCAAAAGTGCGAGGATGTCTCAAGTGAAACGGGCCGGACCACCACTCCTTTCGTTTCTCGCTTCCTAGCCGGCCCGGCCATTTTTTTTTTTTTTTTCTTTTTTCTTTTTTTTTTTTCTCTTTTTTTTCTCTTGGGCCGGCAGCCTTCCTTTCTTCCTTTTTTTTTTTTTTTTTTGTCCGGTCTGTTCTCGGAGCTCAGAGTTTGGAGGATGTCTCAAGCGAAACGGGCCGGACCACCTCTCGCGCGGCATCAGAGAGCGCAGAGTTGCGAGGATGTCTCAGGCAAAACGGGCCGGACCACCTCGCGCACGGCATATCAGGGTTGGAGGATGTCTCAGGCGAAACGGGCCGGACCACCTCTTGCGTGGCATTTCGGAGCCCAGGGTTTCGAGGATCTCTCAGGCGAAATGGGCTGGGCCACCTCTTGCGCGGCATCTCAGAACTCAGAGTTGCGAGGATGTCTCAGGCGAAACGCGCCGGACCACCTCGCGCTCGGCATCTCAGAGCTCAGAGTTTGGAGGATGTCTCAGGCGATACGGGCCGGACCACACCTCTTGCGCGGCATCTCAGAACTCAGAGTTTCGAGGATGTTTCAGGCGAAACGGGCCGGACCACCTCTCGCGCGGCATTTGGGAGCTCAGAGTTTGAGGATGTTTCAGGCGAAACAGGCCAGACCACCTCTTGCGCGGCATCTGGGAACGAGTTTGAAGGATGTCTCACGCGAAACGCCCAATCCCAGACAACTCAGAAACGAGAGTTGCGAGGATGTCTCAGGCGAAACAGCCCAGACCACCAAATTTGTTTGAGGACGTCTTGGCTTTGATTTCCCCAGCCGGAGTTAGCTTCTATCACAACAGCACACCGTTCAGCAAGCTGTTTGGGGAAACATCGGCGCCTGTGGCGGGCTCGTTTTATAGCTTGAAAAATTATGCGCCTGCGGCAGGCTTCTTCAGAGCCTCGCAGACAGCCGACGCACCCGCCGCCCCCTCACTCTTATCCGCAACTGCGGGGTGCTACTGTATTTTTCTTTGCACCCCCAGAGGTCGAGCTTGGCGACGCGGGGATGAAAGAGTGGTGCGACTGGATGGGCCGCCGCCTTGCCGCCGAAGGCGGTGGCGAGAGCGCGGGCGCGCGCAGTGGCAGGGTGCGCTTCAAGGCCAGCACGATCGACTTCTCTGAGAACAAGCTCAGCGCCAACGGCACCAAGGCGGTCTGCAATATGCTCGAGAAGTACGGCGTGCGCTGCGACGTGCTCAGACTGACAGGAAACAACATCGGCAACGAGGGCGCGAGGTGTATAGCTAGATACCTCATGGGCTCGAGCCAGGCGCCCGCGCTGGAGCTACATCTCTCCCGCAACAGGGTCACCATGGACGGCGTCAAGTGGCTGCTGGGCTGTCTTGCCCTGCACCCGGCGTACCCGGTGTGGAACAGCGATTCCCAACGCTTCGTGCCGTTGTGGCTCAAGGTCGAGAACGACAAGACCAAGGGGGCCTCGGGCTACAAGGCGCTGAAGTCAGCGTGCAAGCAGCTGTCTTGCTCGGTGTGCCTCGGGGAGACCAGCGGTGCGGCGAAGTGCGGACCACGGCAGTGCGTGAACGGCGGCTGCTGCGACGATCTCAAGCACAGCTGCGTCGCCCACCTGTGCGGCTGGGACAGGTCCGCCGCCTCAGAGCCGCTGCCTGCTCCGGGGGCGCACGCCCGGCCCATGTTCGACAAGCCGGGGCGCGGCGCGGTCAAGGCCCCGCCGTCCAACGCCGAGGCGCCGCTCCGCGATGAGCCTCGCCTGCTCTACGAGGACGCGGACCTGGCGGTGGTGCTGAAGCCGCCCGGCTGGTCGTGCCTGTCGCAGCCCACGGGGCTCGACCCCAGGTTCGGTGCGACCGAAATGGGTACGGACAGATTCGGTACGAAGGCCGACAGCATCTCCTGCTCATTCTGAACAGCTCGCTGTCGGTGTCGTTGTCCATTCGAGACAGATCGCCTGCCCAACAGCGGCCGCTGCCGCTGTTGTTGTTCTTGGGCAGCGTACCCATACTTTCCGTACCCATTCCGGACATCCAAACAGGTGGGCGAAGTTGTCTGGGTTGGCCAGGAGAGCCAAGGTGGGCGACCTGATGTGCGACGCCGTTGTGCCGGCCCTCCAGGCGTGGCTCTTGCTGCGGTTCGGCGCCGACCCCACCTGCGACGCCGCGCGCGACCAGGCGAGCGACCGGGGGATGGCCCACCGGCTCGACGTGGACGTGTCGGGGCCCCTCCTGGTGGGGAAGACTCTCCGAGGCTACGAGCATGCCAAACGACAGATCGTGCTCGGTGTGCTGAAGGACTATGTCGCCCTCGTTCACGGCACCTTCTCCACGGACCGCGGGGAGTGCACTGCCCCGATCGACTCCAGCAGGTATGAGTCGGAGAAGCGCGTCAGGGTGAGCGCGGAGGGCCAGCCCGCCATCACCGTCTGGGAGGTCGTCGCCGAGTACGAGTGCCCAGAGACCCAGGAGGCGTACTCCCTCGTGCACTGCCGGATGGTAACCCTGAAGACGCACCAGATCCGGGCCCACATGCACCACTTGGGCAACCCGGTCGTGGGCGACCCCGTCTACGGCGAGGGAGGGCCCCCCGAGTGGTGCCCCCGGCGCTTTGTTTTTTTTTTTTTTTTTTGTTTTTTTTTTTTTTTCTGTTTTTTTTCCATTTTGTTTTTTTTTTTTTTTTTTTTTTTTTTTTTTTTTTTTTGTTTTTTTTTTTTTTTTTTTGTTTTTTTTTTTTTTGTTTTTTTTTTTTTTTTTTTTTTTTTTCTTTTTTTTTTTTTTTTTTTCTTTGGTATTTTTTTTTTATTTTTTATTTTTTTTTTTTTTTTTTTTTTTTTTTTTTTTTTTTTTGTTTTTTTTTTTTTTTTTTTTTTTTTTTTTTTTTTTTGTTTTTTTTTTTTTTGTTTTTTTTCTTTTTTTTTGTTCTTTTTTTTTTTTTTTTTTTTTTTTTTTTTTTCTTTTTTTTTTTTTTTTTTCTTCTCTTTTTTTTTTTTTTTTTTTTTTTTTTTTTTTTTTTTTTTTTTTTTTTTTTTTTTTTTTTTTTTTTTTTTTTTTTTTTTTTTTTCTTTTTTTTTTTTTTTTTCCTTGTTTTTTTTTTTTTTTTTTCCCGCCACAAGCTGCGCCTCGGGTTCTTCGGCGTCGAGGGCGAGGCCAGATTCGAGACGTGCTCGCTCCAGACCGCCCCGGACCTCTGGTCCTCGGACGGGGTTAGCACGAGGATAATCCGTTCCAGAGCGTTCACGAACGCTTTCAGAGCGTTCCAGAACGCGCTGAGAAGGCTGCGGCGCCCGAGACATCCTCAAGAGCCGCCAGATCTCAGAGATTCTCGATTCATCCGAACCCGACTTTGTCCTCGTTCTGGCCTCGTCTTAGGTCCGCCCTCGGCGGCCTGCGGAAGGTCGGAGGCATGGCCGCCAAGGGCTGCGGCGCGCCTGGGCTGTGAGGGAGCGCGCGCCAGTGCCGGCGCCTGGGGGGCGGGCTGCCGCCGACGGGCGCACGGTCCCCCCCGCGGCGAAGACGGCGTCGCGCTGTCGCCGGAGTGGGCGGGGGGGGTAGGCGAGAGCGAGGGGGGGAGGAGTCAGAGGAGGAGAGCGTACCGATAGCTGCAGCCACCGTTCCCTCGCTGTCGCCTCTTCGGGGTCTACTTGAAGGCCCTCGTCGCCACCGCTGGAGTCGCCTCGAAATCTTGGTCAGAATGCGCCCCAGGAGAGAGGTCCGAGGAGTGGCGGCGGTATCGGGCATCGGTAACTTCTGGTATCCCAAAGGCGGGGGGGAGGGGAGGATGGGGGAGGAGTTAGTTACCCTGATACGCCCGTCTCGAAACGCACCCCGTACCGTCTTCAAAACGTCCGTGTTGACACACTGTGTGTTGGCTCGCCGTGTTGGCCCACGCTTTGGCGAATGCATATCGCCATACCTACGCGTTCAGTCTACGTGTTGTGTTGAGCTCCGTGTCCACGTCACGTGTTGCGTGTTGCGCATCGGGGCAGCTAGTCTCAGGAGGTTTTTAGTTTTGATTCCCCCCTTCTCACTCGGCGGTGAATAGGACTGGTCCTAAAACCTCTTCCTCCTCCTTCCCCCCTCTCCCCCTTCTCTTTCTCCTCCTGGCCCCGCTGGCCCGCGGTGCGCACACTTCGGTCTTCGCGCGGCGCTTCCTCAGGGGGGGGCGCAGCCGCGCGGAGCCGGGATGGCTGCGCGAGGTGATGGGCGAGACGTTGCGGCCTTGAGCACTCTCGGCAGCATTTTAACGTCAGTGGCGCGGACTTCGGCAAGCCCGCCATCCCGAGCGTTGTGATGATCAAGGCCTGGAGCACTCTCGCGAGCACTGCCATGTCCACCCCAGAAATTGCGATGTCCAGGACACTGCATAAGATGGGCGACCATGGCCGGTGGGTTCTTCGGCAAACTCGTCACGGTGAAGATGCATCTGGAATTGCAGCCGATGGTGTCGGCGGTGGGCCCGGTCAATTGGTTTTGTTGTCCTTTTCTGGCGACCAAGACCTAGAATCGAGAGGTTTTCGGACGCGTCGTCATTGGCCGGTTCGTCCTGACCGGCTTCGCACGGGTGCGCGTTCCAATGGAGGCAGACTTGGCTGCGCCATTTTCTCCCTTCTGCTCGGCTTGGTTTCTCGGGGTGCCATGCCGTTGTGGGGGTGTGGGGTGGCGGGATGTCTGTCGGTGTCATGGCGCGCAAGGCTTTGCTTCCGTATCGCTGGGTGCGAGGGAGTTCTCCTCCTGCTCCTCCTTCTCGTCATCCCCCTGCTCCTTGTTGCTGCGCGGCGGGTGCCGTGGAACAAACTGATGAGTTACCCCTTACTGGCGGGGCCAAGTCCTTCAATAAGGTATCCCCACAAGCTCCGTAGCCCTCTGGCTCAAGCCCCCCTGGCTCAAGGGATGGATGGAGGCGCTTGCACGCTGGCTGCTGGATCTTCCGACTCAGCACCGGAGGGGCCGCCCCCCCGAGCCCTCCGTCCTGGCGTCGGTAGGGGGCCGCGAGGGGCGACGCGAATTCGGGTAGATGGTCGCTGTGTCCCCGACGCAAGGGGACGGCGGAGAGATGCTGGATCGGCTCGCCCCCGTCCGCGCAAATCGGCGTCGCGACGGAATCGCGATCGCGATGGCCTTCCGGTTCACCCGCCGCCCCCCGAGGAGACTCGCGAGTCCCCCCCCTCCCCAGTGAGTCAGCAGCGATCGGTCGCTCGCCCAGGGAGGAAACGAGGAGCGTTGCCGATCAGAACCATGTGCTCGCGGCGATCAGTCGCGCGCTGGGGGGGAGATGGTGGCGATCTTCCGGCCCGCCCGACGCCCCTGCGGAGAGTCCCGAGTCCTTCCTCCTTTCTGTGATTGCGGCGATCAGTCGCTCACCTGGGGAAGAGTCAAGAGGTGCGGCGAACCGTGGCAGTGCGCTTGCGGCGACCAGTCGCACGCCCAGGGTAGAAGACGCGAGAGACGAAGCTCCGACCTCTTGTGACACGCCAGGGGAAGCCCCAGAAAGCGGCATCACTCCCACTGATCCTGGCGACATCCTGCAGGCGTGGCAAGGACCCGCGGGGGCAGACTTGCGGGGCCGCCGCGACGACGACCAGGCCTCAACAACCGATTCGGATGCCCGCGTTTTCTCCCGCGCCGACTCTCCCCGATCACCCCCGCCCCCCACCCGACATGGCCCCCGAGAAATGCGCGAAGGCATCTTGCTGAGCAGGAGGTGCCCACGGCAAACAATCAAGGATGGGCGACCGCTGCCCCCGACGACGCGCACCACGGGGGCGACGACACGGGGCGGGAAATAGGTGAGGACCGCCGCCGGACACTTGGTGAACCCACCCCACGCGCCCCCACTCCCACGAACGCAGCCCGGCGACAACGGAGTGCCCGCTCCGCCGCTGAGTTGAGGGCGGGACAGGACGCGAGCCGATCCACCCGCCCGCGATCAGCCAGATCGGCCTCGTGATCGGGTCGGGATCGGGGCTCCCTCGCGGCTCGCCTGCGCCCTCCCTCCCCTCTTCCTTCGCTATATAACCCCCGTCCACCTCGTCGCTCGGTTCAATGCGATGCGGAGCGACCTGCTCGGCGGCGCGCAGCCGGCCGCCCGCCCCCGCATCCCCGTCGGCCCGAGATGCGGCCCGACCAGCACGCGCTGCCGCGGAACAGGCGGCGGCCCGACGATCGATGACTTCAGGGGTGGGGCGCGAGCTCCGCGCGGTCCATGGACGAACGGCACTGGAACGCATCCTCTCTCCCAGGAGGCAACCCGGCGGCTCCAGCTCATGATGCACTTCGCTTGGAAGCGGCGCCCAGAAGGCCACCGCGGCCTTCAGCCCAGCAGGTCGGGCCCCCCATGATGCCCCGCCCTCCAACTCCAACGCCGCCCCCGCCGCGGCAAGCCGACCCCGCCACGCCGCGCGCCGCTGCCCTGATGCCCATGGACTTTACGGGGCTCGTCTGGTCGGCAAACGAGTAGGACAGCGACGGCCGACTGGGCGGGGCAAGGCCGCGCCCGGCTCAATTACTCGCAGTGAGATTCGCCGAGCTGCTGGATATGCGCGACGCTGACCAGACTTCCCCACTGGACTGCGATTCCCAAGCCACGGGGGGAAGGCTGCGGTCGACGGAAAGGTTCACCATGTGCGCGAAGCACCCCTCCAGTGCGACATGGGCGGCCGACATAGTAACGGCCTAGTGCTCGGTCCTCGAGCGCCGAGGGCCCTCGAGGCACTCTGCTCGCCCCGGCTAACCCGCGCGCGCGCCGTGGCCCTCTCCCACTACCACGCATGCAGGGCAAAGGGCCCTCTCATTCACGAGCGGAGGCAGTCCGTCATTCACTGGGCCTCGCATGAGGACCTGCTACACTGGGCAAGACACGACCGGGCCCTAGCTTAGATGGCCCTCCCGAGGCCGTCAACGCCTGCGTCGTGAATCGCCCTGTCACTACGGATCTGGCGGGAGCAGCGCAGCAACCCAGATTGATGACGCCGGGAGGTTCCGTTCCGGCCCATGGGGTCCTGGGATCCCCCCAATGCGGCTGGGCGGTCGGGTAGACCCAGGGGGCGCCTGGCCGCGGGGCGACGTCGCGGTATATCCCAAACTCAACGACAGATGCGGCTTTTGTGGTTCATGGCTTCTGCGCGGGGCCATGGGCAGGGCGATGCCCAGTATGCGTCCGACTAGCGACGCTGGTTACCGGCGAGGCGGCCTTGCTTCAGCACAACAATGGCATGCGTGTCGCGCGAGCAGTCTGTGCATGTGATCAGCTATGCGCCGACAGACATGAGGTCGATCGGGGCATGGCCGGGGCATGGCCCCAGACGAGAACGAGTCGGCCCGACGTGCGCTCCTGGGATTCGCTGCCATGGCCGACGACGACGGCCAAATTTTGACCGCCAGACTCAACAGCAACGCCGCTGCAGTCGGGGGCATTGTGGAGCGCGCCATCATCAGACAGCTACGCTTGGACAGGAGACAGCAAAAGAGTGACGAAGTTATGCCTGGCGCCAACAACCCTGACCCTGGCGCCGAGGGGCACATCGGAGCAGCCCACGAGCACGCCGCGCCTGCCAGGGCCCAAGCCGACCCCGCTCGCCTGGATTCCAGGGCAGAAAAGGGACCGCCTCAGGAACTTCATAGACGAGGTGCGCGCCGTTAGACGAAGGGTAGCGACGGCGACCCTCCCCGCCTTTATTGATGGAGTGCCTTACTGGCCACCGTCATCTGGGACTCCGCCACGACTGCGGGAAGATAGCGTCTCGCACAAACCTTTCAATGCATGAGCCTGCGCGCGCATGCGCTTGACACGGTGGCTGCGTGCTGGGGCGGAGCTGGGGTACAAACGGTAGAGGACGCGCATGACCTGATAGACGTGCAGGTACTTCAGCACCGCTTGGTTTGGTCACCGGGCTCACCGCCCAAGCCCCTCGCCTCGGATACTACGTGGACAGGTCGGCGCAGCAGATCATGATGGGGCGCCTGGATCGGGAAAGCCACCTCCAGATGTCAGTGCTATCAGGGGATCGTGAAGCTGCGGAAGCGGGCGCAGCGGCCCAGAACAGGACCGCGACATGCCCCCAAATAGATGGCGGGGGGTCCAGACCGAGTTCGCAGATGGCAGGACTCATGGCACGCCCCTGAGACGACGACCACCCACACTACGAAACAGGACGATGCGCCACCGACCGGATAGAATGCAGCAGAGCTGCGCCAGTGAAATTTTATTTGAGCGCCTCCAT